CCTCACCAGAACCTGACTGTGCTGGTACCCTGATCTTGGACTTCCACCCTCTATGGGATTTTTGTTATAGCAGCCCAAACTGACTAAGACAGAAGGGGTGAAAATACAAGAAAATAACAAACATTCTCATAGACTTTATAAATTGTCTATTTTTATGTCTATTCACTTCACACACAGAATTTTTATATTCTCAAATTTAATATTTAAGCACCTTAACTCTTTAAGAATGACATAGATGTTCCAAAACCTGCAGGAATAATGACTCAACAGTTAAAGTTGTGTCCCTGAGGCTGGTGGGCAGGAGTTAGTCACTTAGTGTGAGTGGGGCTAACCAGCCTCCTAGCAGTCCCTCTCCATGTGGCTGTGTGGTTCTCAGTTATTACTGGGTTTCATTGAATCATCACACCCACCCTCTGGAGCAGTGGAGTAGCATACTGCTGCTCACCAATATGTCAGGATCTCCTATCTTTCCAGCAGGGGGATGATGTATCCTTGTCCCCTTGACACTAGGTTTGTCTGTCTAACTGGCTAATCAATGAAATGAGTAGAAGTGACACATTTCATGTGTGCATGGAAGCATTTAAACTCTGTCTTCTCCCACTGCAGTGATCTCAGAAGCATATGTTGATATTCAGGTGCCTTAAGACCAAAGGCCCCCAGGAAAGCAGAACTAACCCACGGAAAAAAGCTGCCCTGAAGAATTATCTGGACCCACAGTGTACATTTTGCATGAGTGAGAGATAAATTTTAGTGGTATTAAGCAACTGAGACTTTAGGGTTATTGTTACTGTAGCATAAAATAGCCTAAACTGCCTGATGCAAGTAAATATTATTACTCTGATTTTAAAGATGAGGAAACTATAGAATTGATATGTAATGGTAAAACTTCAAAACTCAAAGATTTTTAATAACTTTCACATCTCCTTCCTATAACTTATGATGACTTCTGGTTTGTTTTTTCTTTCTTTTTCTTCTATCTATTTTAAACCTTCTTAGCCTTCCAACTCTAGCCAAATCCCAACTCCTCTTTTCATTGGTCTCCATGTTACTAGGATGAGATCCTAAAAATTGTGTCACTAAGTGTTGTGCACATAGCAGATGCTCAATAAAGATTAGTTTAATTGAATTACTTCCAATATTGGCATGCTTGCATTACTTTTTGAGATATAAAACAACCCATTCTGTGATGATTTTTCTCAATTGGGAAGTTTTGAGAAAAGTGAAATCTTTATTGCATATTTAAAAATTATTATTATTGGAAAACATATACTGAATGCCAGACACTGTACTATGCATTTTATATAAATTATCTCATTGAATGCTGGTGCAGTAGGTAGTCTCCAAAGATGGCTGCTGTCAAGTCCCCTCTTTCCTATGTGCACATGCTGCTCCTCTCACTAACAGGTGGAGTCCGTTTCTCTCCCCTTGGACTTGGGTTGGCCTTGTACTTGATTTAACCAATAGACTGATGTGGAAGTGTGCCAGCTCTGAATCTACTTCTTCAAAGACCTAGAAACTTCTACTTTCACCCTGAAGAAGCCAGGAACCACACTATAAAAAGCTTGGGCTAGATTACTGAATAACGAGAGACCTTGTCGAGAGACAGGCCACTGAAAGGAGCATTGAGGCACCTGTCATGTGAGTGAATGAAGCCTTCTTGGACCTTCCAGCCAAGCCAAATGGACAGCTAAAAGCAACAGTGAGGATGGCCCCAGCTGATGCCAAGTGAAGCAGAAGAACCATCCAGCTGAGCCTTTCCTGAATTCCTGACCTACAGAATCATAAGAAATACCACAGTTGGTCTTAGCCAAAAGGCCAAGAAGTGATAGAATCACAAGAAATAAAATTTCTGTTCTAAGTCACACTTTTGGAGTGATTGCTACACAGCAATGATTAACAGGAGCACCTGATACCAACCTTCATAATAGTACTTAATAATGTAAGTATTGTAAGTACTATTGAGGCCAGGAGAAGTTAAGAATCTTCCCCTAAGGTCACACAGTTAATAAGTGACAGAGCCAGGATGAGCACCCTGTTTCATCTAATCCCAAAGCCTAAACTCCTAACCATACCCTATATTGCCTCTAAAGTCAAGTCATTGGTTTAAGAGCTTTAAAATATATTATATATTACTTGGCCTTTTCATTAACTCAACACAGTTAGTATGGATTTTCTAAAGTTGGTCATATTAGTATTTCCCATTCCACCTGCTTTTCTGCCGTGCAGATGTGCTGTTCCCCCATCATGTGGGGAGTCTATTTCTCCACTCCTTTGGCCTGGGAGGACTTCACGCCTGCTTTCGTCAACATCACATGGTGGAAACCATCCAGTGCCAGTTCATGTCATAGCCCTCAATTGGCCTGGCTCTTGGAAACCAGCTGCCATAGAAGGAAAGCAGCTACCTGAGCCCCCCAGGTTGTAAGAAGGCCAAGTACATGCATAGGCCCTGGAGGATGGAGCACCCCATAGGAAGAGAGAGAGAGACCAAGGAGCACTAAATGGGCCAGACATGCGAGTGAAAAGCCCTCTTGGAAGTGGGCCCTCCAGCTATACCATATGTAGAACAGAGACAAACCATTCATCTGAGCCCTTCCCAAATTCCTGACCTACCAAATCATGAGCAAAATAAATGATTGTTTTAAGCCATTAAATATTGGCCTATTTTGTTTCATAACTATAGATAACCAAAACACTGAGTAATAAGTATTTGGGGTTTTTTTGAGAGAGAGAGATACGAGGTCTCACTCTGCCACCCAGGCTGGAGTGCAGTGGCATCGTCATAGCTCACTGCAGCCTCAAACTCCTCGGCTCAAGTGATTCTTTCACCTCGGTCTCCCAAAGTGCTAGGAATGCAAGAATGAGCCACTGTGCCCTGCTGAATAATACATATTTGACAGTGACTGATGATTACTTTTTAAATCACCCTCTATTTAGGATATAAGCCATATGTTGCAGGTTTCCATAGGCTATGAGTTCCAGAGAGAAAATATTGATATTAATGACCAAAATTCAGTGACTCTGAGCCCCCACTCCCTTGATTGCAACACCATAGACTCTGTCACCATCATCACTGTCCAATGCTCCCAGTTATTTCTAGAAATGCATATGTGCCCCAAACTAATCTGTCAATTGCAATCACCATGAATTGTCCCTACATTACTCCTCTTCTGCTTTAAATCCCACTTATTCATGTCCACTGCCTGAGATGCCACTTAAAGCTGTCTTACCATCCGAATGGTCTTGTCACAGATGCTCTCTCTGCCACCAATTCCGGGCCTGTTGGGGCTGCGTGAGATGAGTCCAGAGTCTCACAAAGTCTCTGGTGAAACCAGTTCCTTCAGCTCCGCCATAGTCATGACTTCTGTACAGTTCAAGGCTCCGGGAGGGGGACAGCCAGCCCACCATTGATCTCATCACTTTTGAACCCATTCCTCCCAGCCCTGCTCCTCTCTGGCAGCCACTGCACGTCCTGGCAAAGCTGCAGCTCCCAGGCAATTAGCGGTGCAAAGGAGTTGGAATATTGCCGGCCCCCCTCACCAGCCAAGATGCTCTGCTTTAAGAATTTGCAAGGATCTTGAGGGGAAAATAAACAACATACAAACAAACAAAATCCTATAAATATTCCTACACACAAATAAAACCTTTTAAGCATGGCAGAGAACTAAAAGAGTTCTCAAATACATGTTTCCTTTTAGACTTTTGCATCTCTGCTTATGTCGGACAACCAGATATAGATGTGGGAAACCATAAAATCTGGAAGGTAACCACAGCAGATGACAGGGCTCAGCCTCTGAGAAGGAGTAGAGAGAAGGTGGGAGTGAAGGGCAGAGAGAAGAAGGGAGGAGTAAGGAGTTAATAATGAATGGAGCCCGTCCGCTCCCCGGGGACTGCCTGGAGCCTCCATTTCTGAGATAGTTAAATTATTGATGGAAAATATGGCCTCAGCTGACAGCAGGAAGACAAGCTGACAGCAATTTAAATTTATTCTGCCCCCAATAAAGTAAGGCCACTCTGATCTTCAGGGCTGCTCAAGGGCCCAGCGGGTGAGGATGCTGAGGAGGTCATGGTTTCCCAGGGGCCCATGACGCAGGCCAGGTCTAGAGGCAGCAGGAGACCTTGGCTGGAGGGTTGGTCTGGCCCATTTTTGTTCTTTATTAATGTGTGAACCCGCGGGGGGCCTGGATGGTTCCTCTGGGCCTCCATGCAAGGGAGCTGGCTCCGGGTACCTGCCGAGCAGTGCCCATTTGCTGCACAGCCTTGCTGATTTCAGGTTGGAGCCTCTACTGGCTTGCTAGGGCTGCCATAACAATATGCCACAATCTGGGTGGCTTAAACAACAGAGATCTATCGTCTCACAGTTCTGGAGGCTGGAAATCCAAGACCAGAGTGTCAGGACCAAAGTGTCAGGGAGGATCTGTTCTAGGCCTCTCTCCTGGCTTCCGGTGCTGTGCTGCGATCTTTCATGTTCCTTGGCTCGTAGACGTGTCTCCCTGATCTCTGCCACTGTACTTCACGTGGCTGGCTTCCCCTCGTGTGTGCGTCTGTCTCTGTGCCTAAATTTTCCCTTTTTATAAGGACACAGTCATATTGGATGAGGGCCCACCCTAATGACCTCATCTTAACTTGATCATCTGCAAAGACAGTATTTCCAAATAAAGTCACATTCACAGCCACTGGAAGTTAGGACTTCAATTTGTTTTGGGGGGAACACAATTTGACCTGAAACATTTCTTTTCTCTGCGCTGACTCCTGGTCCCCATCACCAGAGAAGTCTCTGCATGCTGCCTGTCTCTGGGGCCCAACCGCAGGGGAAGGAGTGGCCCTGAGAATGATTAACAGAGCTCTGGAGAGAATACTTTTCTTACCAGAAAAAATGTGCAAGCTGCATCTCAGCAAAAGAGAACTGGAAAGCCTCATCTCTCTCCCCACCTCACTAAGCCCTTGCAGAACTGCCCAAGACACTCTGTTTGCCTGTCAGCATTCCTTCACCTGGCTGTACGCCCCATGGCCTTCCAGCTTGTGGGATAACTCCAGGGGCTGGCCCAAGGGAGTGGGGGAACAGGGTGCAGCTCCATTTAGGGAGCAGGTCTTGGGAGGCTAAGAGCAAGGGTGGAGCTAGGTATTAGAGTTGCGAAGATGGGAAGGCAATGTGCCTGCCTGCCAGGAAAGGCTGCAGCAGAGGCCCCCAGACAGCATGGGGACGACAGGGATGAGTGCTTGAGTCTACATGGGGACATCAGGAAGCCCTCACAGAAGAGCTAAGACATGCAGGATAGAGGGTACTTGCCAAGGAAACAAATGAGGAGAGGGCATTCCAGGCAGAGGGAACAGCATGTACAAAGGCACGGATGCCCTGGGCATCCTGTCGACCAGAAGCGGCTAAGTACTGCTAGATCCTAAAGCTCAAGGTAGAAGGAGCAGGACACGAAGTGAGTCAGGCCGAGAGGTTTGGAGCATTACCTGAGGTGCTGCAGGAGTGTAGAGGAAAGGGACATGGTGAGATTCGTAATGTAGATAGAGCTCTACCCACGACTCTGCAACCAGGAAGAGCATGCAGGTGTGGGAGCAGCATGGCAGGGTAGAGGCCAGGGGCTTGGTGGTTGATGAGACCTGGCCCTTCCTTGGACAAGCTCCTGAATGTCTCCTGGTCTCTCCTGTGAAATCAGCATAACAGAATCTGCACTTCAAGGTGTTGTGATTATGAGAAAGCAATACAGGTGGGGTGTGGGTAAGTGGTGCCTGGCTTACAAGAGGCCTTCAGTGCATAGAAGCCATGAGTAGCAGCAGTACAGTGAAGACCCACTGAGTCACACTGAGATTCTGCAGACTGAACCAGCTATACTCAGCAACTCACATGGGGAAAAGTGCAAGAGGGAAAATGGTGTATTAAAGACAGCTACAAATTCTTTGATACTTCTCCCATAGATAGGCGGGGGTCTGTGTCCCCTCCCCTTGATTTTAGAAGGTTGACCAGCAGGATACAGTACAAACGATGCTCTCCAGGGTCTAAGACCAGGCATTGAGGAACTATCCGCTTCCCTCCCTGTGTCTGGGCGCACTCTCTGAAAGCCCCGGGCTGCGGGCTGGAGAGACCACGCTCCAGTCGGCAGCCCCACCTGTGCTCAGCCCTGCAGCTGTCCCCGGACGCACCGGCCATGCAGGTGAAGTCATCTCAGAGCCTCCAGGCCAACTCGTCACCAGCTGAAATCACTGAGTGACCTCAGCCAAGGCCACAGGGAAACAAAATCCATCCGCCGGAGCCCTGCCTGGACTCTGACCCGCTGGATCCCAAGGTATGATAAACGATTGTGTTTTAAGCCAGAGAATCTTGGAGTGATTTGTCACATCGCAGTAGCAATAGATGGCAGGGAGGCAGTGAAGGGCCCCTGCAGGGACGGTGGGCCGTGCTGGGGGCTTGCTGAGTGCTTTGGGAGGGCCAGGAGAGAGCTGCCAGCTCCTCACATGAGGGCCATTCGATCTGAGTCTCAGAGGAGGGTATTCTAGCCAGGACTTTTTTGGCTTCGTGATAATAAAAGTCTCTTCAAACTAGCACAGGTGACAAAGAAGCTCTTACTGAGAGGATGGAGGGATCTTATGGAGCCCAAGCTCAGGAGATGAGCGATGTGGCCCAGAGATCTTTGAACTGGGGCAGGACACTGAGAAAGCCAGAGAGCCACAGGAGGACCCCCAGCCCCCTCTGGGGGCTATTTCCATTCCCCTCTGGGTGCCTCTTTGCTGTTCCACTCTCTGCGAATCAGCTCCTTCTGTTTGCTCATTAGCTTGTAGATGACTCCAAAACAGCTGCCATAGGCCCCAAGCCTAGAATCCAGACAAGTTCTAGTACCCTCTGTCACTCGGGGCCACAATTTGTAGAATTAATTCTGGATCAGTCTGACTGATCCGGCCCAATTCTCCCATCCAGGCCACCCACGTCGCTAGCCTGCCAATGGTCTCTATTGTTTTGGCTCAGGTGACTTCCCTGGTCCAGTCGGCAGCGTCTCTCCCAAGGGCTGTGGGCCAGGCAGGTTACAGGGGAGTGCTCTTGCTTTTGTTTTGTTTTTGTTTTTAAGCCGGTGGAGAGAGAGAGGAGAAGAAATGAAGAAAGGGCCTGCCTGGCAGGAGAGCGGCAGGTGTGAGGGCCGGAAGTGTGAGAGATCACGCCCACTGGAGGCACCTCGGGAGGGTGAGGAAAGAACACCCCCCAGGGGCACTGCTCCAGCAGTGACGGGAATGGCACAGGCACAGCCACTCAGAGCAGGCAGCACCTGGGAACACCCGGGATGGCAGGAAGGCCTGATGGTCAGGCCTGCCTGGATCTGGTAGAAAGTCTCCCGTGTGTGTGCATTTTTACTGAAGGGTGTGGTCCTCCCTTATCAGCCCTCTGTGACCTCACTTCCTCCTTTACCAAACGAACATTTCTGAGACTCCAGGGGAAGCGCTGGGTTTGTGGTGTCTGCCCAGGGTTTGGGGGTCACTTTCAGGCCCCTGTGGAGTGGACAGCACAGTTATCTCTTCTAGGTTTTAGGGGAGATTTGAGCTGCTTTTCTCTTTCTCAGCCTTTCTGGGAATACAGGGAGGAGGAAGCAGTTTGAGTCCCATTGCAGGCCGTGGAGAGTTCTGGATGAGCAAGCACTGAAAACGTGGGACGTTGCTGAAAAGGGTTTCTCAGCCAGCAACACTTTCTCCCCTTGCTGGGGTGAGTCCCTGCCACTCTGTGTGCTCCATGACTCGTTGAGGAGCCCTCTCCCTCATCAGGAGAGGCGGTCTATCTGCTGCAGTCTGAACATGGGTTGCAGGGGTGGTGTACAGGAGGACAAGGAACTAATACTTGCCGAGCGTTTCCCGTGGCCAGACACTGTGCTAGACATGATGCGTATCATCTTATTTAATTATCCCAAATACCTTGTGCAGGTTTGATCCCAGATACTCCGGATCCACTATGTGAATATTTCCATTGCGGACGCCCCCTTAAGGCCCCCTTATTTCATTTCTTTCTTTTTTTTTTTGTTTTATCTTGAGCCTCTATAATAAGCACATGAGGTCCCCTTATTTCATATGAAGCTCTGGATACTGTCATAAAAAACACCCAATGCATGGAAATAAGGCAGATAAAGTAGACATCCTTTCAATATCATAGCAGGTAAAAGGCCACCTAAGGATTGTCTAGAATCTCCCTGTCTGATCAATAGTCACTAGCCCCGTGTGGTTATTGAGCACCTGACATATGGCCAGTCTGAATTGAGATGTGCGGTAAGTATATGATCTGCACTGGATTTCAAAGACTTAGTATGACAAAAATTATATCTTATTAATATTTTTATGCTGAGTACATGTTGAAATGAAAATAGTTTAGATTGGCTTAAATGAAATATATTATTTAAATTAATTTCACCTGTTTCTTTTTATTTTGTTTAATGTGGGTACTAGAAAATTTCAAATTACATATGTGGCTTGCCTTATATTTCTATTGGACAACGTTAGTCCAGTGGAATATACTTAGCACATCTCATTGTTTCCTATTAATTAAAAGTCCCAGACTTAATGAAGTTACTTGTTAATTTATAGATATTTGTCCAGTAGAGATGTAGATAATTTTTGTTGAGTGGACACATAATCCCAAAGATTTATGGCCTGTTGGACATCAGCTAGTTTTATTTTCAACCCAGCAATTTTATCCTAACATTTCATCATTAAGTTGCTTATAAATATCTTAGCTGGTTCTTTATGCTGGTCATACATTCCATTGGTTCCCTCATTAACTGATGTGTCCATCTTGGACACATGTTCATTTTTTATTTGAGAGTCATGATTTTCACCTTTTAGACCAGGGCTGTATAATAGAACTATAATGTAGGCTACATGTGCAATTTAAAATTTTCTAGTAGTCACATTAAAAAAGCAAAACTACTTTTTTACTTTTGTAAGTAACATACTTTTGTATGTTACTTAACTCTATGTGCCCCAAATATTATCATTTCTATAATATAAATATCATTTCTATAAATAATCAATATAAAACATTATCAATGAGATATTTTACATTCTTTTTTCATAGTAAGTCTTCAAAATCTGACATATCTCAGTTTGGACCAGCCACATTCCAACCTCTTAATAGTCACATGTGATGAGTGGCTACCATATTGGGCAGGGCAGGTTTCACCCTATCCTTTGACATAAAGAACTACAACCAACAAATAAAGGCAGCTCAGGTCCTCTAGGCTTCAAGTGTGAGCTGGAAGGCAGTTGTCTCTATAAAGGGATCTTTTGATATCCAAGGCAACCAGAGGGCTGGGGTAGCAGGAGTGGTGATGTACCTGAACATATACTCCAATGTTCTGGAAATCCATGTCTCGCCTTCAGACATTTCCCTCCTCTCCACTCACGAGCTGCATGACCTTGAGCAAATCACCTTCTTTCTTGGATTCTCAGTTTCTTCATTTGTAAAATGAGGAGGCTGGACTGGAAGATCTCTGAGGGTCCTTCTGTCACTGATGTGCCATCATTCTCTGCACTACCACCGGGGCAGACCCTCTGGGGAAGACAGCCACCCTCTCTTGGAAGCCCTCAGGCAGTTCCTAGGGTTTTCCTCCTGTTCTCACTCATCTCTATAGTGCTGAGAGGCCCAGAGGTAGATATGCAGCTGCCTTCCCAGTCAAGAAGGGGCTGCTCCCTTTTGGTAGTTGGGGAGACAAGAGTTTGGACATGTAGAATTATAGGCTGTCACCTTCCTCTTTGGCCTACAAATGTATCTGTGGGGGATCTCTTCCTTCCTGGAGCTGCTCTAGTTAATCTTAAACATTAGAAGATAAAGGGAGATTAGTGATAGAATTCCTTTCTGAGGATCCCCACGAGACTGAGAAGGAAACTAGGAGCTAGAGTATAACAAAGAAGAAAGGGAAACTACGTGCTGATTGCCCACTTAAGGAGCTGTAACTAAGTCTTGATTTCTATAGGTAAAAGTCACTGAGCCTTAGATTAAGACAACGGATTAGGTTGTAAATGTTTCTTTTAAATAAATCGATGAGGGGAAATGAAACTGAATATGCCTTCTCCAACTCAAAAAGATGTATATCCTGCAGGGATCCAACAATTAAACAACAAGAAGAGACCTAAGCTGCTGGTGCCCCAGAAGCAGGGCCTATGGGACAGAAGCTACAGGGAGGCCTATTTCTGTCTCTAAGTGGAGGATGGGAAGGTCCTGCAAACCAATGAGGTCCAGGCAGAGGCCAAATGACCACCTGGAAGAAATGGTACATATGGTAGCTTAGAACCCCTCATCTGCACTCCCCTGTTAAAATTAGCTTATTCTATTGTTTAATGACAGCTGTGCTTAAATCCTGATCAGATGATGAGGTCCTGTGCCTTTTATCTCAGCCTCTTCATATTGCCTGGCCCAGAGTAGCTACTCATTAGATGTTGAATGAATGAATGAGCCAATCAATCAAACAAACAAATAATCAATGAATAACTCAATTAATAATTGAGTGAGTTAATGAATGACTAACTATGTGATTCTTACATCAGATGGGTAGTTAGACTAGGTCATTTTCTCCAACCCTAGTTCAATGAACTAGGAATGGATTGGAGAATATGACCCCCTGCTCTGATGCTGAAGCCTAGCAGGTGACAGTTCTTTCTCCTGACGTTTCCTCTGAGCAGAACGGCCTGGAGCTGGTGCAGCAGGGATCCCTCTCCTCCTGGCAGTGACTTTCTAGAGGCTTCTCCCAACAGAAAGAGAGTGGGGGAGAAGGAGGGGCAGAGGTGTCTTCTGTCACCTCGGAGCTTTTCCATTCAGGCCCGTTCCCATTTGTCCTGTCAAGCCATAAGACTGACTTTATTATATATGAGGGTGGTAACGGTTCATGAGAGGGGAGGACACGAAATATCTCCTCCACTGCTGCCTGAAGTCCCACCCTATGGGATGCACTAATAATTCCTTTGCACCTTGAAGGATAGGCATTCTAGGATTTCTCTATTATAGTACATATAAATCTGTATCAGCTCGTACCTTAGGCTGGAAGGAACCACGGCAAGAGGTGCTGGAGACCAACTCTGCTGCCTTCCTCCCTAACACTGCAGAGCATTGGGCCCTTCCCTCCCCAGAGCTTGGGCTTGTCAGTCACTCCCCAGTTGGAACATCCAATGCCCCACACATCTTCTGGGCTCTGTCTCTGCCTTCTCCTCCATGCCTGTCTCCCTCTACTTTCACACACAAACCTTGGGTTCACCTAGAACCCAAGGTTCACTCATTCCACTCCCAGGCTCTGTTCCCCTCCCTTCACCTGGTCTGCCCCCCTCCTTCCAATCCAGGCTCCAGCTCTGCTCGGCCAGCGTTGGATGTTCAATTTGGGACAAGCCAGTTAACTTGTCTAAGTTTTAGTTTCTTCAATATCAAAACAGCAAGATTAATATCAACCCCATCGGTCGGGCACGGTGGCTCACGTCTATAATTCTAGCACTCTGGGAGGTCGACGTGGGAGAATCGCTTGAGCTCAGGAGTTCAAGACCAGCCTGAACAAGAGCAAAACCCCGTCTCTACAAAAAAATAAAAATAAAAAATGTAATAATAATATCGACCCCATCAACCTCACACAGTGGTTGTGAGAAGTTAGGAGTAATCCTGACTATGAAAATGTTTGAGAAATTCAAAGTGCTACACAAATGTAGGCTTACCATAACACCGATCCTAAAGGACCAGCAAACATAGGCACTCATGTAAACCTGGATTTTTAATATCTGTCCTTGTTAAGTTTTACAAGGAATGCAATTCATGGGATTGCTAAGTCTATGTAAAAGTGTGGGCTGCAGGTGTGTTAAATGTGAGAGGGGAAGGAATGTTCTTTGGCACTTTCCCCTGTACCACTTTTATCATGAAAGTCTAATAATAGTCCCTGGACACTGGTGGATAAATCCACAGTGGACTTTCTTCTTTCTTCCAGGCTACACGTCTTTGCAGTGAAAGAGATTGGATTCTGAGCTACCAGAGAGAGGACATGAATAAGTAAGGACTCTTTTTCTCTCTCTCTTTTTAGTCACATCTTCACATAGACCCTCATGAAAGAGCTCAAAAGAGCCACAGCAAAAGCCATCACCCACCTGAGCCCTGCAGCTCTGTCTTTAGAATCCCAGCTCCTTACAAACCTCCTTCCTGTTCAGGAGAATGTCTGACTCCAAAGCCCGTTATCGCAACCCTTTTAACAGATGAGGAAACTGAGCTCAGAGACAAGGAAGTTGTCACTTGTGCAAACTCACAAGCCATCAGTGGGAAGTGAGACTAAGGCTGGACCTTCACTCCAATGGCCCCTAGAGAATGCTTAGCATCACATAATAAATTCTTTTCAGACTGTTTTGTTCCCTTGTGTTTACAATTTATAAACATCAGTCTAACATCCAAAATTTTCAAAAGGATATTCCTCCCACCTTTATCTGCAAGCACCCAGTTCTCCCAAGAGGCAACCAAATGCGTCAGTTTCTTGCACATTCTTTCAGAAATATTTTATTTATATATAAGCAAATCTATTTCTTTTGCCTTTTTTGATTTTTCTTTTTTTTTTTTTTACACAATTGGTATATTCACTGACCCTCACCTGTCTTCTTTTACTTAACAATATATTTTGTAGCATTTTTTTTTATGTGGCTGTGTGGTATTCAATGTACTGATGGAGGTAGAGGTGATTCCTAGTCATGAGCTATTTAAAAAAGCTGCATTGGGGCCAGCCTGAGCAAGAGTGAGACCTTGTCTCTACTATAAATAGAAAGAAATTAATTGACCAACTAATATATATAGAAAAAATTAGCCGGGCATGGTGGCACATGCCTGTAGTCCCAGCTACTGGGGAGACTGAGGCAGTAGGATTGCTTGAGCCCAGGAGTTTGAGGTTGCTGTGAGCTAGGCTGATGCCACGGCACTCACTCTAGCCTGGGCAACAGAGTGAGACTCTGTCTCAAAAAAAAAATAAAACAAAATAAAATAAAATAAAAATAAAAAAGCTGCATTGGATAACTTTGCACATATGAATATTTCTGCAGGAAACTTTCCTAGAAGTAGGGTTGCTGGGTTGCAGAGGTATGTGCTTTTGAAATGGCCTCCAAGGTGGTTTTACCACGTGACATCTCACAGCAGTGCCCAAGAGTGCTTTCTCCTCCCCAACACAGTATGTTTTCAAACTTCGTGATCCTTGCTGATGTCCCTCTGCCCTTGGACATGCACTTAAGGCCTGACTAGACTCACTTCCCATTTTGTACCCAATATGGCCTCCCAGTTAGTTTAAAACCACATGTTGCTCTTCTGGCAACTGATGGAAATACAAACTTCCAGGAAAAACAAAAACAAATCCTTCCTGCAAGGTAGGTTGTCATTCTATCCAAACAGCCATTACATTTTTAGGGGATGATTTATTCATTATTTAACCAAGTCCCTTCTTGCCCAAGAAGACATGGCTCTGGGTAGGGAACGGCTCCACCATGGCGCCCCACACGCATCCATGTGGGCAAAGGCTTGACTCACGGCTTATCTGTGTTTTGGCAGAAGGCCTTGTGACCCCGCCCCCCGGAACACAGGGGCAGGGAGGCCTCTAAGGAGATGCGATGAGGCCATGTCCCACTCACTTCCCCACGTCCACTGGAAGCCTGTCAGGAGACTGCCTCATCGCCTCGCAGGTTCTGACCCAACTGTGGGATTTCCTGCCCCACACACCCCAGAACAAGATAGAAAACCACCTTGCCACAGTCTTGGGTGGCTCCTCAGCAACAGGGCACCCACCACTTTCACTGCAGTCACTCGGCCCCTATCATTTTGGTGTCATCTCTTTATGTGTCAGGGACCAGGCTCTGTGGAGCTGCCCCTTGCTCATTCCTCCTTGTGCTGGGTGAGTGACAAACCGTCTGAATCCAAAAGTGACTCATTGTATCTTTGCTTATGGAATCAAGCAGAGACCTTGGTCTTGGCTTGGCTTTGTGTTTTATGGGTGAGCTTTACACTCTGTAGTCATTCTAAGTGTTTATTTTCTCGTTTACTACCAAATATTTGTGTCATACTGCCTATAGGTTGGACACTTTACAAGGCATTAATGCGTTTACTATTCATACTTGCAACAACCCTGTGAAGTAGATGCTATTATTGTCCCCATTTCAAAAACGAGGAAACTAAAGCCCAGAGTAGTTAAGAAAGCTGTCCAAGAGTTCACAGGAAGTGGCAGAGTCCGGATTCAACCCCAGACAGGCTGCTCTGGAGCCAATGCTCTGAACCACTGTATTTTGCTGTCTTATGTTAACAGAGCCTACACCTAGGGCACCTTTTCTCAAACTGTGCTCTATACAGCACGAGTATCAGAATCACCTGGATTACCCATTTGAAATGCAGTTTCCTGGGCTGCATCCACACCTATGCTATGAAAGTCATTGGTGGGTCTAAAAATTTCCAGATACCTAAAAGTAGGACATCCATCCACCTTGCAGCAGTGGGGCACCTGGGGATGACAGACAGACTGGGTCCCTGGAGACCCAAGGAGCCACCACCACTCAAGCCCTGAACTCCCTACCTCTAGTCTCTTGTATTTGGAGAAAAAATTAATCCTGTTTGGTTAAATAGCTGCAGTTGAGTTCTTCTTTCATGAAGTTGACTGTCGTCCTACTGAACGCAGAGGATCTCTTTAACCACTGCCGTAGGGCGCTCGCCAGCTGCGAACCCCCATCCACAGCCGCACTCATAGTCCGCACGGTAGTGCGTGCTGTGCATTGACGACGAATCCGTTTTGCTCTTGTGTGATGAGGAAAGCTTGAAAGCACTGAAAGCTTGTTTTACTTTACAGGCAGCTTTACTTGTAATGAAAATATCAGAATAGGTAACCTATACATGTATGTTGTCATTACGTTATTTTCAAATGTTCACAATTTTATTTTGATAAATGAAAAATTTAAAAAGTCATATCAGGGCTGTCGGCTAAAGTCGCTGTGCCCGTTCATCTGTGGCTGTCGACTATAGTCACTGCTCATACTGAAGTGGTTAAACAAAAGTGATACATTTGCTGATAATTTGATTTTTGGAGGCAGCACGGTAGAATAGAATAATATAAGCCACATATGTGATTTAACATTTTCTAATAGCCACATTTTAAAAAGGCAAAAAGAAAAAAAAAAGGTAAAATTAATTTTAATATGCAGTCAGTCCCCGGATTACAGACAACTGGCTTACGGCGTTCCGCAATTACGAACAGGCTCTCAAGCCTCCCCATAAGGATAATTTACAATTAAATAGTTAAATTAAATAATAATTCGGGAACTCGTTTCTCCCGCACACGTAAAGGAGCCCGCGGGGCGTGAGCGAGTCCCCGCGAGTCTTTGCTTGCGGCGGCTCTCACTGTTTGCGCGGTGGCTTGCGCACAGCATCGCTTTGCTCTTAGCTTTTTATTTGATTCTGTGAGTCTGTGTTTACCCCTCTGACCACGCCCCCAAAGCTAAAGTCCCCTGCAGGTCCAGGTGAGCCCGCAGCGAAGAGAAAGGTGATCACAGTGGACATGGAAGTAGAAATAATTAGGCGTTTGGAGAAAGGCCGGACACCCGTCATTCTCTGGGAAAGCATTCGGCTTCAGTCGCTCCACTATGGGAACAATTACAAAGGATAAAGTGACAATAATGGACCGTGTGAAAGGCAGTGCTCCAATGAAAGCTTCGGTTATTACTAAGCAGTGTAGTGGATTAATTATTGAAACAGAAAGGTTACTATTGATTTGGTTAGGAGACTAAAACAAATGTAACATTCCTATCAGCCTAGCATTGATGCAACATTAGGCTAGTGTTAGCCTTTAATATTCTTTTTTGAAATTTCTCCTATCTCCCATCTAAACTTTTTGTATGAGTTTGTCTTTATGCTTTGTTTGAATTAAAAGAAAGAGCACAGTAGTTTCTGTAACTTACTACAGTACAGGGATATTATTATTATCATTGTTATAGTATTAAACTGTATTCTTACCACGTATGAGCCCTTACAGTGTTGTTGTTATTACTATTACTGTATATGTGCAGTTCATCAGGCATCCGAGTTACATACAAATCTGACCTAAAGCTGTTCTCAGGAATGTATCTCATCCATAACCGGGGACCGCCTATATTTTATTTAACCAAATATACTCAAAGCATTATCATTTCAACATGACAAATACAAATTGTGATATTTTCTACATTCATTTTTTAAAACTAGGTCTTTGTCATTTAGTGTGGATTTTACTAGGGCACATCTTAGATCAGACCGGCCACATTTCAAGAGCTCAATAGCCCCACGTGGCAGCTAGTGGCTGCTGTGCCGGACAGCGCAGTCCCGCAGCTGCGCATCCTTTTTTTTTTTTTTCTCTATTAAAGAAATGCTTTATTGGCCGGGCCCGGTGGCTCACGCCTGTAATCCTAGCACTCTGGGAGGCCGAGGCGGGCGGATTGCTCGAGGTTGGGAGTTCGAAACCATCCTGAGCGAGACCCCGTCTCTACTAAAAATAGAAAGAAATTAATTTGACCAACTAAAAATATATATACAAAAAATTAGCCGGGCATGGTGGCACATGCCTGTAGTCCCAGCTACTCGGGAGGCTGAGGCAGGAGGATCGCTTGAGCCCAGGAGTTTGAGGTTGCTGTGAGCTAGGCTGACACCACGGCACTCACTCTAGCCTGGGCAACAAAAGTGAGACTCTGTCTCAAAAAAAAAAAAAAAGAAAGAAATGCTTTATTAATATAAACACACAAACTACAAAGCATTAAGAAATTTAAATATCTATGTCATAGCAAACAGGTGGCAAGCTCCGCATCTTTGACCTGTTTTATGCTCTGGTTCTCGAACCTGACTGCATTGGAATCATCATGGCAGCGTAAACAGATGGTACCTGGGTCCCACCTCAGATATTGATGTATAGTGGGGTCTGAGTGCTGCTGGGGAATCGGGATTCCTAGAAGTTTTGCAGGTGAGCCAGTGAGCCAGCAGTAGAATCACTGCTCTAAGGTCCTTATCCCTGGAGCCTTGTTACCAGTCTGGGAACGGTTGTGTGGTGGTTTTTTCAGGAGCTGCTCTTTCCAAGTCAGAACTGCCGGGCTTGCACTGGGTCTAATCTCTGTCTCCGTCTGTCTCCACCTCTCTCTCTCTCTCTCACACACACACACACATATATACACACCCACTGGGCCCTAAAAGTGTATCTTACCTGTACGAATACCAGCCAGATGTAGCGCTGATCCCAGCCTGACCAGATCATACCAAAACATCAAAAAGATGAGTCCTGGGGCCAGAAACAAGCATCAGGCCTATTTCAAGTAAGTGAAGACAGACACAACACTGACTGTGGGCTGAAAAGAGCAAAACAAGTCCT